CAATAACTTGGAAGATTTGGCTCTCCACCCTCTCCCTCCTTTGTGAGGTGTTTCTTTCTCACCTCCATTCACTCCGGAAGTGGCCTCACGGATCTGCGCCTTCACGGATCTACGCTTTCCCGCCTCTTCCACGCTGCCTTCACCGCCTCCATCGCCGGATTCGTTGACGTTGCTGCTGGTTTTGTTTGGTTGTGGGTTTATTTTCTGATCTGTTATTTTGGTTTTAGTCTTAAGTTATTTCCTTGGTCTTTTCCTTTTGTTTGCTAGTTGCTGCTGGGTTTGTTTAGTTTCTTCGAGTCCATTTGTGCGAATTTGTTAAGCTTACCCTCATTGTGGTTGGGATTTATGATTTATTTCAGACATGCTCTATTGTCGAACTTTTATGATCGGCTCTGCCTCGCAGTACGAGCACGAGTACAAAATGTACGTCTGAATATTTTCATAACTCTCTTCCTTAGTACTTCTTGCTTTATTTTCACTTTGTTTGGTGTAAGTTTTTGGTTTGAATGGACTCTTGTAAGTGCCGTTTGGCTTTCTTGAATGATATATGTCTTCCGATAAAAAAAAAAAAGGTCTACAATATGTTTATGATAGTAAAAAGAGTACCAAATCATCGCTTGCGCTGGCAGTGGAAAATGCACATAAAATGACAAATAAGTTAGTTTAAAAATTATTTCTACCCACCAAAGATAAAATTATGTAAAATTAATAAAAATTACATAATTAATTTTTAAAAATTAATTTTACATGATTATCATCCAAATATATAATAAAAATTAATTTGGTAAAAAATAAATAAATGTCTAAAAGATGTATCAATTTTATATAATTTTATCTTTAGTAGGTAGAAATAATTTTAAAAAATTTAAAAATAATTTTTTGACATTTATTTTTATCAGATTAATTTATATTTTATCAAATTGACGAATTTGCTTTTGAAAAATCCAATAGTATCTTCAATTGTCCTTATTTAGAACAAGATTCAAAATTCATGATCAAATGTGTCACAATTGAACAGTCAGGGACCAAAGTGATACAAATCTCAAACTATAGGGACCGTTGGTGTAATTCACCCCAGAATCAAATAGTTCAAATTACTGAGATTTGCCTCAAAACGGCTCAATAAGCCCAATTGTTCTCTCAAATTAGGTGTCGAACTTGAAATAATCCAAACACACTTTGAATTATTTGTTTAGTTATGAATTTTGAATTTTTTTTATTAGAATCACGATTTTAAAAAAAAACCAAACGCAAACCTTACAAACAAATGCTTTTACTATTATTAATTAGGAAAAATTATGTAAATAGTCGTTGTAGTTTACATAATGTGTCAATTTTGTCCCTGTAATTTCAATTTGATCGATTTTGCCCTTTAATTTAACGGATTGTCTCATTTTAATTCAATAAATAACGGTTATTAAGTTAATTTAACAGAATGTCAAACAATTGTCAATTTGATCTCCGTATTTTTCACAATGTGTTAGTTTAGTCCTTGTCAAAATCGAGAAAATTAAAACTATAGGGACCAAATTGACATACCGTGTAAAGTATAGGGACCAAATTGACACATTGTTTGACATTCCATTAAATTAATTTAACAACCGTTATTTATTAGACTAAAATGACACAATCCGTTAAATTAAGGGACAAAATCGAGCAAATTGAAACTACAGAGACCAAATTGACACATCGTGTAAATCACAGGAACTATTTACATAATTTACCCTATTAATTATTAGATAAATTATCAAATTGTATCAGTTTTTGTGTTTTGAATAACAAGAGCAACTGGGTTACATGATGATCTATGAAGAGTGAGATGGAGCTGCCATGGACATGGACACTCTAGTCATAAAAATTTATATGATTCACTCTAAAACTAAGGTTACATTTATAATTGCTATAGTTTTCACTATAATAAGAAAATTATAAGATACGAAGATAGTGATCTTCTCCTCAATTATAAATACATGAGTAGTGTTGCCGTAGCCCAGAAGTTAGACTCATCTTTCCAACCCAATAATGTAACAATTTATTAGAATATTTAAGAAATTTTTTTGTCTCTTATGTTTCTTTAATCATCAGTCAATCATTTCTTTTACACGTTACTAGACCTTGAAAATTAGTCTAAAAAGTGGGTTTCTAAATCATTTTTTATAAATACATAAACATTAAGGCAATAGCACACAAGTACAAAATTACCAAAATACCCTTACTCCAACAAGGTCGAGTGATCAGTGATTAATATTTATTATTCACACTACCCAAACAAGATCAATCTTATCAAATGCTATGGTCTTATCGTAATTAATCCTCAAAAATATCTTAATTAACAACATTAAGAAAAGGATGGATTTCAATGTATCTGTGATGTAATCTTTCTTTTGGAAATGTTTCCCATTTTCATTTTGACTAAAGCAGCATCTGCTAAAAGAGAAGATTACACTTTTGTGTAGTATGAGAACTAAAGTTGCTACTATTGGATGGGCATTTCTCATCAATCACACTCAAACATCTGCTTTAATCTTTTTTCTTTTTTCTTTTTTCTTCACATAAACATTTCAAATCTCACCGCCCACTTATTTCAAAAGGATGTACTTTCCCATTGAATTGCTTTACCATGACTACTAGTAGTTTATTTCACAGTATAACCACACTCAAACATCTGCTTTAATTTTTTTTTCTTTTTTCTTTTTTCTTCCCAAAAACATTTCAAATCTCACCACCCACTTACTTCAGGAGGATGTTATTTCCCATTGAATTGCTTTTATCACGAGGGACATTTGCCGACCAGTACTATTAATTAAATTTATTTATTTATAGGTCTTATTGATAAATTTATTATTGTAAATTTATTCATAAAACAATAGAAACTGATAAATTTATTACTTGATAAATTTATCTATAGGATTAAATAGGTAATAAGTCCCAAATATAAAACCTATTGATAATTTACCCTTACCGTGAATACTGATAGTTTATTTCACAGTATAGTTTAGACATTTTGTTGGATTTTTAAAATTCAAAATTTGTATGATTGAATCTTGTGATATCTATTTTGAAAAAGGTATATTAATTAATACTCTAATTTGAAAACCCTTAAATTGGCTTAATAGGTGTAACTTGGGGTCTGGAGGTGTGCTCTCTTTAGGTCTTAAGTTCAACTATCACTAAGTGCTATCAATTCCTTAGGACCGCGTCTACGGGTTCTACCTAAGAGTTACCAATCTATATAGAGGGGAGACTTTGCAGGGTACTGAGATTAGTCAAGGTAAACATATGCTGGCCCCAACAGCCAATCATTAAAATAAAATAAAAAAAATAAAACGAAATCTCTAATTTGAATATAATAGTCCCTATTATTTTTGACCTTCGTGCAAAAATTCTCTGCATTTTGTTTCAGTTTCTACACTAAATAGTAATATTTTTACCCGAATAAAATTGCTGAATTTCCACGGACAACTAAAATAATAATAATAATAATAATGCCCTAGTGATTGTGAGAGATGAAGTAACTTTGTCTGCTTTTTCTTCACAAAAGAGCTTTAAACTAGTAGATTTCCAAATAACATTTAAAAGTGATCTCACGAGGCAGAGATATATATGGTTGAAGTTAGGGGCATTAATCTGTCTCGATCCATCTGGACTCAGGTTTGGACCGGCTCATGTCGGGTCACGTGGGTTCCTGTCCAAATTCGGACCCGGTTGAGTCACAGGTCAGGAAATTAGGTCTGGCCCAGTCCTGGCCCAAGGGATATTCGGGTCTCGGGCCAAGGGCTTAGGCGGGGCTTGGGCCGGCCTGAACATTTTTTATATTTTTTATATTTTTTCGTTAAAATTTTATTCTTTTTCACCAAAAATGACATTGGGTCTCGAGTGGGTCAAGTCTCAAGCAAGGTTTTGAGTGGCCCTTGAGCAGGTCGGCGAATCGAGCCCATGGGTCGGGTCGGGCTGGGCCGAGTTTCAAAATGACAGCCCATGCCTAGGATCCCAGGTTAGGCTCGGGCCCGAACCTAATCGAGCTGTGCTCAACCCAAACTGTGGACGGGTTTCAAGCCACGGTCCATTTTTACACCTGTAGTGGAAGTATGCCCGATAATTTACAATGCTATCATGTGCATTAAAAATAAAAAAATTTAATAAATAAATAAAGGCACTTGTCTCCCTATGTCTAATATTTATTGTTCTGATAACTCATCTCTCTTTAAACCTCTTGTATAATGAAAACTCAAAAAAATGATTTTTAGAGAATCTCCACCAAATTAATTATTTTTATTTTTTAACTATAATAGTGAATCACTACAAGAAATCAGTTTTTTAGAGATAAATTTATTGTCTCTAAAAATATAATATTTGTTAGGAAAAACTTTAGCCAACGAATTTTGTCCGTAGCGAAGTTTGTCTCAAATGATTTGTCCAGAAAAGTCCAAAATTGACTTTTAGAGACAAAATTTTGCATTTGTCACTATAAATAGATTTTTAAAGACAAATATGTGATTGAAAAAAGTTTTGATTTTGAGACAATCAAAATTTGTCTCTAAAAGTCTATTACAACCTACAATGGTCACAATGTTTATCGAGACAAAAAATTTAGTTTTTGAGAAGGCCCAAATTGGTTTCTAAAAGTTTTAATTTTTGAGACTAGTGAAAATTGTCTAAAAGTTTTAATTTTCGAGACAACTAAAGGTGGTTTGCAAAAGTGATAATTTTTTTCAAACAACTAAAATTGGTCTCTAAAAGTCTGATAATATATTTTCTTTTTTTTTCTTTTGGCTTTTTGATTTTGTAACAATTACTCTAATAATGCTAGTTTGAACAGAAACTCATATTCCTTACTTGACTTCTCAACAACCAAATACAAAATATCAAACATATCACCAAACTATTATCAACTCCAAATTAAAATTCAACAACACCAAAAGAAAAAAACACAAACACAAACACAAACAAACACCATGCTCATCGCATTCAAAAAGTTTTAATCAAAAGATATTTCAATAACAAACAAATACAATGCTCTGATTCATTAATATGTAATATTTGATTGTATATCATAAATTGATAGAGATTTCAAAAGTATCATTTCCAATTTATAAGGCTAGTGCCACAAGCATTGTTTGTAGCATTCAACTATTCAATGAATAGATTGTAAATTGTAATTATATCTACCTATAAAACAGAACAACTCATCCATCACATCTTCTCAAGGGTTTCATTGGAATGTCATTCAAAATCTCGCAAAGTGAATCGCAAAGTGGTGTCAGTAGCTTGAAAGATGTATACCTAGAAGAAGGAAGCTTGAGATGGATCCAATCTAGTGTTTTCAGGAGGAACAACATCAATTGGAGCAATAAGGCCAACACGAGCAGGAGCTCCGACCTGTATCTCAAATCTCATAAAAATTACTGTTCATGCTCAGAAGATACTAAAATCAGTATCCAGAATTGAATTGTATAAAAGAAAATCAATGTGAGGATCTTACTTGTCAAGAACCAAATCACAATTACATGGTCAATATCCACTGCATACAATAAATACTTCATAGTTCATACTCAAAGCCAATCAGATTACGTCGAGAGATAAATCAATTCATCCCAATATCACCTAATACCACCAGGCATGCACTAACATTGAATGTACCACCCAACTCAATGAATTTCTCAATACCACAAGAGACGATCAATGAGTAGCATGGTTTAACATCATATAGAAATTCTTCTATGCAAATGTTTATTATAAAAAAATTTAGGGCAAATTACATATACACCCCTCGAGGTTTGGCTAAATTACAAATGCCCCCTGAGGTTTGAGAAATTACGAATTCCCCCCTGAATGCTATATTTGCATAAGAAATTAGGGGGTAATTTGTTATGAAATATAAACCTCAGGGGGCAAATTGTTATGAAAATACAAACCTCAAGGGGCGGGATGTAATTTCTGAAACCTCAGGGGGATATCTGTAATTTAGCCAAACCTCGAGGGGTGTATATGTAATTTGCCCAAAAATAATTATGACACAGCCAACATGATTGTTGTAAATATGTAAATTGGGCATTCAGCATCCATGGAACAACATTTTTTTTTTTTTTTTGTGGAGAAACCTCTCACATAGATGCCTAGATTTTTTTTTATTTTTAAATAAGAGTCTAGATTTGCAGTGGGGAAAAAGACAACGTAAAATAATAATCCTTTAAAACATCAGTCTGTCTTCTCATATTCTGCACTATATATAAATAATATAATAATGAGCAACAACTTGAATTCCTTAAACACATAATTGCACATATTCTAACATACATACTTGCCACCATCCATCAAATAAAAAATAGAAAGGAAAGAAAAAAGAAACATGTTTCCATACAAGGAAAAAGTTAAATTAAAATACCTAAGGAATTCCACCATAGTAACAAACATAAAGCATGTTGGAAGATAGTTTTTTTTTTTCCTATTGAGTGATGATATAGGTACATGAATTTTGTACATAATTTCCATACTAGATGTAGTCTTCTTGCAGTTTCTTCTTTTTTTATTCAGGGGAAGCTATGTGTTGTGCCTGAATTAAAGCCTTATTGACTCTTTGAACTGCAATTATTGATGCTCAGCTATGAATTCATGCTCAACAAAATGGATAAAACAATATTAAATGCATACTCATGAAAATAATATAAAAACCCACAAAGGAAACAAATATAGATCTCAAAAGATGACTTACTAAGAAGAAGAATCAGTAGAGGGTCCTCCTCCCATGTAGCTAGGGGTGTGCGCGGTGCGGGTCGGTGCGATTTAGGAGAAAAATAGAAACCGTATGGCGGGTGACGGATTGGTAAAAATGTCATTAGAATTTGCCATTTTTCTTACCAAAAACCGACGGCTCGGTTGCCAAATAATGACGGATATGCCTTGGCGGTTTGTGCGGATTGGCGGTTTATAACAAAATATAATACAAATTACAAAACTTGAATCAAAGAATAAAAAGATCTAATTTATAAATTAATTGAAATAGTCAAAATTAAAATATTCATCTAATATAACATTAAATATTAACAAACTAGTAAACTAAAAATCCAACAATCCAAACAAATTAGTCCTCAACAGTAGTCCAACATCCAACATAATTCTAAAAAAAGTTTAAAAGTTAATCAAAGTCCACAAACACTCCAAATTATCAATCATAATGCGTATATATAAATAAAATTTTATCAAAAATTGAACAACAAAGCAAAGTAGCCATCATATTTTTTTTTTTGAACAGCCGGGCCATTACCAACTATCATTGTTATATATATATATATATATATAACTAGTAAACTAAAAATCCAACAATCCAAACAAATTAGTCCTCAACAGTAGTCCAACATCCAACATAATTCTAAAAAAAGTTTAAAAGTTAATCAAAGTCCACAAACACTCCAAATTATCAATCATAATGCGTATATATAAATAAAATTTTATCAAAAATTGAACAACAAAGCAAAGTAGCCATCATATTTTTTTTTTTGAACAGCCGGGCCATTACCAACTATCATTGTTATATATATATATATGTATATAGAGCAGAGAGAGCAAAGAAACAACAAAGAAAGACAAGAAGAGAGAGAGAGAGAGCAGCGAGAAAGCAGCGAAAAAACGTACCGACATGTCAATGACGACGAGTAGGCAGTGCCGATTGATAAGGGAAGGAGAAACCAGCGGCGGTGGTGAGGAGAGGCTAACAGCGGTAAGCCGATCAGCAAGGTAATGAAGAGGAATTGATGAAATGTTGTGCATAGCGATGATGAATCGATGTGAATGAGATGAAATTGAAATGTGTGGGTGTCAATTGGGTATAATTGAGGAATTATTGTGTGTGTGTGTGTGTGTGTGTGTGTGTGTGTGTGAGAGTATATCATGTATGATAGATATAATCATGTAGCTGGATTGCACTTGATCTGTGTTTGTATAACATTTTTTTTTTTTATGAAACAGGGGCAGTTCGGGTCGGTTAGACTTGTGGGTTGGAAAATCTCATCCGTCACCTGCGCCGACCCGCCAGAGTTGGGCCTCCAACCCGCCCAAGCCAGAGTTGAAATTTTGCGTGGTTCGAAGCGATTCGGTACGGTTTTGGCGGTATTATGCACATCCCTACTTGTAGCAGCCTCATTATCCCTCTCAAGTTGGGCACGAGTAAGTTTTCCAGATAATGTTGTACTTGGTTTTCGACCACGCCCTAAGCCTCGTATGTAGCCAACTTTTTGTCCAAATACCTCAATAGAAAGTTGCTCATCGAATATCGGACAAGATCCATCTTCAATAATTTTCTCTTGCCGCTTTTCAAGCTTGTACTACAATATTCATTAGTTAAGATAAAACTAAGGCCTCGTTTGGGAACAGGCTAATTTAGTAACTTTTTGGCTATTTGGCTAAAAAGGTAGGTAAAAAAAACTTGTATGTTTGGGATGACTTTTTGGCTAATTTAGTAACTTTTTGGCTAATTGGCTAAAAAAGCCTCTTGCCAAACGAGGCCTAAGTATCCATCCACATTTTATTAACGATATAAGGAATGAAAGTACATAAAGATTGATGTCTTACATGTCTAATCTTAGCATTAGCATGTACCCATGCCTCTTTTTTCTCACTAAAATAAGTCTTTTGGTACAATTCAACAAGTCCAAGTTCCTCTTCAGTGGCACAGTCTCACTGTGCCATTTATAGCATACATTAAACCTCAATATAGATTACGTTGTTCAATTACAATTGCAAAACATAAATTGTAGATTCTATAATTAATACCTCATCATATTGCACTTTTCTGAAGGCCTTCGAGCCAGCAGTGTGGAGGACTTTCAACTTCTTCCGATTCAACTTATTCTTGCCACATCTCACCTATTATTAAATGCATAAGTCAGAGTACAAGGTAAGAGGAATTCCCAAGCATATTCAGATTATCACAAGGTAAAAAATTTTTTGATACATTTATTAAAATTTCATGGAAGAATTCGATTTAAAAAACAAATTTGCTGATTCAGGGTCCAAGGAACTACCACATAAGCATGCATGAAACATTTATTGTTTCTTGCATTCTCATTATTTAAGATGCATCAACTCAGACATCCACTTCGATGGATGCACCAGAACTTAGTTTTATAATGTGTGTACGTTTATATGTGTGGATGTTACTATTCACATCCATCTTCAACTATTTTCTGCATTGATATATATATATATATATATTCTACTTCCATGATACAAATTTTCTCTCTGTACATTGCAAAGCAAACCTAGAGAGGCAAGCTGACAGCAGCCCAAAGTACGATAGATAGTTTTAGTTTGAGAACTTCAATATTTTAACCTCTACACTCTATGGTCTTTTCATTGTCATTAGCAGATGATCTTTCTAAATACTCTAGCATGAAATTATCCCCCCATTTGGCAAGTTCAATTGCTAGCATATTCTTCTCAAAGAGTACTCTAGTGACCGTTGCCACCAATAATCGCTACGATAGGAAATTCACAAACAAAGAAGACCATCTGATCCTACATTGCAAGATGATAAATTAGCAAGCAATCTTTCTAAATACTCTATGGTTTTTTGAATATGGTTGTTGCATCTATAACATGGACACCAAATCTTATCTGCCCCTGGTTTCATATGATCACGAACAAACAAGATAAATTCCATCATCCCATCAACGTATTGAGGTGACCTTCTATTATGAAGTTGCATCCAACTCCTATCCATGGTGCAAAAGAACTAAAGAAGAAAGAGAAAAAAAGAAAAAAGAAAAAGGGTAAAAACTTAAAAAATGGGATATACTAAAAATAGGAAATATGATGCTAGAATTTTCGACTCTAATAAAACAAGCGAATCAAAATAAATTTAACAATGCAATCAATCGAATTGACATCTACATTTCCAAATAACACAAATATAATCAAATCAAACAAATCAGGATTAGATTAGACCATATTAAGACAGACTTGAAAGGAGCTCACAGTTGACTAGACAAAACTGTCCAATTACATATTCCAATTGGGGAGCATCTAATTCCATATATATATATATATATATAAAGTAATAGGGTAAATTTTAAATACACCTCTTGAAGTTTGCTTAAAGTACAGATTGTCCATTGTGGTTTGAAAAATTACAAATACTCCATGGTTATCATTTTTATTTAACAGAATTAACTAAAAAAATAAATTCATAATTGCTCTCCTATATATTTGTAATTTATCCTTAGTAATATATAAAGCAGTCACCACTGTGAGTGTAAATATTACAAAAATAAAAATTTAAGAATGTACTAAAAAGTTATGATTAGTACAGATTGTCCATTGTGGTTTGAAAAATTACAAATACTCCATGGTTATCATTTTTTATTTAACAGAATTAACTAAAAAAATAAATTCATAATTGCTCTCCTATATATTTGTAATTTATCCTTAGTAATATATAAAGCAGTCGCCACTGTGAGTGTAAATATTACAAAAATAAAAATTTAAGAATGTACTAAAAAGTTATGATTATTATAAATTACTTCAATTATGTTAATGATTATTTTGACAAGAAGTTACAATAGTCACCTTTGAGTTTTGACTTGGTGTAAATTTGACAAATTTTGAATTTTCACAATTCAAAGTGCTTTACAATAACTTTTCTACTTTTCTTAACTTGAATTTTCCCAATTCAAAAGTAATTGTTAATACTTATCTTATATTGCTCTCTCCTTACAAATTTGGCCGCAAGTATATATCTATATACGCATACATGTTCTTATATTTATATTATATATACTGGTGTGCACTTATATTGATTATTCGAAATTGAAATTAATAAAGAGAAACCCACCCAAAAAGAAATTAATAAAGAGAATTGAAACCACACATCAATCTTTCATTGATCTCGTCATTGTTTAATTATAATTTATTTGCAGTGTTGAAGCCATATATGTTCATCACCTTGTTAAGAAATTGCAAAAACTAATCAACTAATACAAATTATGATTGCTTCTAATAACAACAACATTCACTGTATAACAAAATGCTGATAATGATGTGATAAGATCAAAAAATGCATGATTTAGAGACTTTCTTATACTATGAACCCTAAAAACCAAAAATGCTTAATTATTGACGATTACTATAAACACTTCACTGAAACAGATTGATTGAACAAACACATGAATCTATCCAAAACCATGTATGAAACCGAGGGCTAAAATATCAAATCGATTATACAGATACATACATGTATGTATATACATATATATATGGTACCTAATCGGAATCGCTACCGGAGAGTCGCCGGGAAATCGGAGAATCAAGAAGAGATGAGGCAGCAACGGAGCATGTTTTTCGATCTCCTTCAAGTTTTTGAGGCTCCAAATAGCTATAACATCTCCTTTTTGATATCCGAAAATCGTCCGATATCGTCAATCTCTAACGAATCTACACAGCACAAAGCAGAGAAAACTCAATAATCAACAACAAAACACCAAAAATACATTTTCAAAAAACACAAAGCAGTACGCATTGCAATCTGCATTATACCTACAGACTTCGACAATCGATTAAATCCACTGAACTGAGCCAAATCTGAATCAAAAAACATAGAATCACTAGATTAAAAGCATATCGTAATGAAGAGGAACAGTAGTAGTAGTGCCTAATCCACTTACCTTTTTGAGATGGATCGTGAGAGGAGAGGTAGAGGATGAAGAAGCAAAGGACGCTGAGAAGAGGAATGAGGTGAATGAATTTCTCAGGTCTCGGAGGTGATTTGCGAGAGAAAAAGAAAATAGGGATTTGAGAGAGGGGGAGAGAGGGAGGGATGAAACCTGGATGCTTTTTTCGTTTTTGTTTTTGTTTTTGATAGTCCCAACTATTGAGTTCAGAAATTAATATATAAAATAAAATAATATATGATTTGAGTTTGTTAGGAATCAATTAAAATTGTAGGTAAAAGTGGTTGATCTTTTTATTCCCAAATAAATTTGTTTAGAAAATGTAATAATATGATTAAATATATATATATTTTTAAAATTTTTTTATTTTGTTCTTAAAAGTATAAATTTTATAAATAAATTATTTTTATCTCTAAAAATTTGTCTTTAAAACCTTAATTTCTTGTAATGAATAAATTATCAAATTTTAATTCCATCAAACTAGTTACCAAGTTAGCTATTTTAGTTTTTATGATTTTGGCTCAACAAATGTAGCTAGAAATTTTGACTAGTCAAATATTAAAAAATTAATATTTTTATTATTTTAGAGCTACTTGTGTTGAGTTTATGAAAAAATAGAAAAATTTACCCATCAATCCTAGATAAAGGAATGTTGATCCATTTAGTTTTAAGAGATTTTTTTATGAACCAATTAGTTATTTTCGTTTTAGAAGTTGTATTTATTTGATTTGATGACATTTGAATTTAAGTGATTGTCTTTTTGTGATTCATTTTTTCAATTTTCTGATTCGTTTTTGGGATGAAAATGAAAATATGAGGTGCGAAAGATTCTTTTTGAGGGGATTGGTGGCTGAAGTGTTGGTTATCGAGCGTGAAAATCTATTATTAGTGCGGTGTTTTAGTATTACATTGGACTCATACATTAGAGTGCTATGTTTGAAAAAAAAAAAAAAAAAAACTATACTAATGAGTTTTTATGTGTTACATTGATTGGAGTGTTACTTTAGAAGAAATGCACTAACGAGTTTTTCTGCAATGTTACGTTGTTACGTATGAGAAAAATACACTAATAAATTTTTTAATGTATTATGTTGGAGTATTACGTTTAAAAAAAATACAGTAAAGAGTTTTTGTATGTTACATTGATTAGAGTATTACGTTTGACCCAACATGAGAGGGCAAATTTGCACCGGACAGTACGGCCGAGCTACGGCAATGCAGGTGTGGCAAACCTCTCAGTGCTGAGCTATCTCCTCAATCGGCACGGCCCTCCGGCCTGTCTTACACGGCCGAGGTAAGTTTGCCGACCAGGATTGGTCTAAGGCCTGGCCGAGCTGTGACTGTTAAGCGTTCGGCGGTAGGCGTGCGTTAGCACAATGCGACCGAGCAGATGACAGTCCGAAAAGAGTCTAGGCCGGGAAGAGGTCGGCGTACGCCCGACCGGATAGCTCGGAAGCTCGGTCGTGTTCTTTGTGGTTGTGATTTTCTCCTAAGGAATAGGCCGGTCTTGGTATGTCGGTCAGGTGTGTCACTTGGGCCAATGGCGTGAGGGAGAGGATATTTGCTCCAGGCACGCGTCAGTACCGTTTGGCAATTTTGCATGTACTGATGGAGGATTTGGCCTTTACACGTGTAAGGTGGTGAGAGGCGAGCACAACCAACTGTCCAGGGAAAGACAGTAGAGGTAGTGCGCGCACAATCCTAAGGCTGCATGGCCAGCCTAGAAAAAGGAAGGGAGGATGAACGTTAGTGGTAAGCAACTTGCGCTATGTGAAACACCTTCTCTCTCTCGAATAGCCTGCTTCTTTCTTAAGTGATCTGACTTGATCGTCGGTGGGTCTATCCGGCATACCACCGCCGGGCAGCTCACCGTTCTCTGTGTTGCCAGGTTAGACGCCGTCACGTGAAGCTTGAACTCCAAGGAGTATGGAAAGTAGAGGATATTTCACCCCCGTACAATTGGCGCCGTCTGTGGGAAGATCTTTGATACTCAAACCTTGTTTTTCAAGCTTCTTCGACCATCTCTATAGCCAATAACGACGAAACTCCACTGTCCGTCGTCGATGGCGTCACACTAGAGTCCGTCCGACGGAGAGAAGGCCCCCCGAATGTTCCAGCCATGGCGGACATAGAAACTTCTTCGCGAGGTGCACGAGACAAACGCGGAAGGAGTACCGATCGCTCAAAGAGTCCAGAGGACCGTCAGCAGCAGGGGGAGTCCTGTGCGCAGCGCCTGGAGCACAAACTCAAAGACCAAGATGCCCCAATTCACAAGATGGCGGCAGAGGTGGAGATGCTGAGACGTCAGATTAAGGGGAAGGGTGTTGCTGGAGAGGGCAACCTCAATGAGCGCACCCCGTCCCCCCGTTCTAGCAGTCGCCGCCAGAAGAGGACCCACTCTCTCTCCATTACCAGGGACTATGGGGTTAGAGATTCTGACCGAAGGGAGGGCAGATCCCTCACTCGAGATAGCACATACCGTCCCTCGCGCCCGTTTTTGACGTCACGATACTCTTTCTCCACCCGTTCCAGAGACCTGAGGGATGTATTGGAGGAGAGGGCGCGCCGTCGAAAGGCTCAGAGAGTGCCGGCGTGACAGAGATTGAGCGCCCCAGTTCATTGTAGCGAAGAAGTGGCGATGCCAGCACCTAGAGTGATGGCCCATGCGCCAGTGGACAAAGAGCTGGCGAGACTTACAGCCACGTCGTTGTCTCCGGAGATCGAGAGTACACCACTCCCTGCCGGATTCCACCAGCCTAAGTTCACCTTGTACGACGGCAAAACGGATCCGTACATGCACGTGAGTCATTACCGGCAAGCAATGGCTAGCCACCGGCGCAATGACGCCTTGATGTGCCTCCTATTCCCAACAAGCTTGGTAGAACTGGGCCTGAAGTGGTTCGAAAGGCTTCCAAGGGAGTATAGAGGGGTGGCAGCAACTAGCGGAAGCCTTCGTCACCAGATTCAAAACCAACACTCGAACGCCGAAGGAGGTCGATCATCTTCTGGGCGTCAAGATGGAGTCAGGGGGATCATTGAAGGCATACAACGCGAGGTACTAGGAAACTTACAACGAAATCCTCGACTGCCCTACCAATCTGGCGATCACTCAATACAAGCGGGGTCTCCCAGTCGGACATAGGCTGCGAGATTCGCTCACAATGCACCAACCCACAACCATGGAGTCCTTGATGCAGTGGATCAATGAGCACATTCGTGTGGAGGATGATGCCGCCTCCGCGACCGAGAAGGTTAATCCGGTCGCAGTAGACAGAAGGGTAGCGGGGAAGGTTCACTCGGTCGGGCAGGAGGATAACCGCCCAAGCGACCGGCCAAAAGATCAACGACGTGGCCCAAACCGCGATGACAGAAACAAGGGTCGCAGAAACGGCCGAGCTGACGCTCCCCCTGATGCAGCGGAGGATGCTAAGAGAAAATAAAACGCGTAGACTGGAATCACCACGGTCTTTAAAATCCCTATCTACCGCATCTTGAGTGAGATCAGAGGCGAGCCTTTTGTCCGCTGGCCGGCCAAATTGGGGAATGCAAAGAGAGGCCTCAACTCAAGGTATCGCTGCACCTTCCATGAGGAGTGGGGACACCGAACGGAGGACTGCTTGCCGCTCAAACAACATTTGGAAGAGCTAGTGGCCGCGGGACATCTTGACCAATACATAGATGGGGGTATGGAAACCGCGCCATTGGGGCAAACCGAGCTAAACGGCCTAGCTGCCTTAGAGGCAGCACCCCAAGGCGTAATCAACGTCATTCACGGCATCGTTGAACTAGCAAGGGTCTGCGAGCTCAGAGGGATGATTAAGAAAGCCGAGCATATGAGGGAAGTGCTCTCCGTTCGGCCTGTTGTGAAGAAAGGAAAGATCGAGGAGAAGGACATTCTTACCTTTTCGAGCAGGGACTTGGAACGGATCCAGATGCCCCACAATGACGCCCTAGTGGTAACTCTTCGCATCAAAGACTTTGACATCAAGAGGATCTTGATCGACCAGGGGAGTTCGGTCGAAATTATGTACTATGACGCGTTCAAACAAATGAAGTTGGAGGACAAGGACTTGGCCCCCGCGACGTCACCTTTGGTTGGCTTCAACTCTCAGCCAGAATGGCCGATAGGGAAGATCATACTGCCGGTCAAAGCGGGTTCAGTCATAAAGCAAGTAGAGTTCTGGGTGCTCAAAGTCCCATCCACCTATAACTTAATTTTAGGCAGGGGCTGGTTGCACGCCATGCAAGCAGTAGCGTCGACTTACCATCAGGTCTTGCGCTTCCCGGCGCCAAATGGACAAATAGAGGAAGTCTGGGGAGACCAGGTGATGGCGAAATAATGCTTCGTTGCGGTAAATGGTAGCTGAGCAGCTAAAGGATTTGTCCAAATGATTGAGGGACCCTAGGGAAAGGAGGTCCTTGAAAATGTAGGAAGAAAGAGGTCCTTGAAGACGTAGGAAGAAAGGCCGAGGAAAAATCGGTCGAGGATTTGGTGGAAGTGCGCATCGATGAGAATGACCCAACTAAGTTCTTCCTCTTGGGATTATCTTTTTCTAGCGCCGAGCGGTTGGATTATGTTAACTTCTTGGTTTCCAACATGGAGGCTTTTGCGTGGACACCTTACGATATGCCTGGCGTCGACCCTGACTTCATTTGCTATCAGTTGAATGCCTTTCCTAATGCACGACCGGTCATCCAAAGGACACGCCGCTCAGCTCTGCACCATGCCGAGGTAGTAGCAGAGGAGGTCAAAAACTTGTTGGAAGTAGGAGCGATAGAAGAAGTGCAATACCCTCGATGGATATCCAACACGGTGGTGGTCCCGAAAAAGAATGGTAAGTGGCGAGTCTGCGTTGACTACAAGACGGTCAATCGTGCTTGCCCAGAGGATAGCTTCCCCCTCCCTCGAATTGACCAGCTGGTGGACTTGACCGCTGGCCATCAGAGGTTTAGCTTCCTGGATGCATATCGCGGCTACCACCAGATAGCCATGTATGAACCGGACCGAGAGATCACGTCGTTCACTACTCCTAGAGGCCTGTATTGTTATAAAGTCATGCCGTTCGGAATGAAGAACGACGAGGCAACTTTTCAGAGGATGGTGACAAAGATGTTCGCTTCTCTTTTGGGCCGAACAATGGAGGCCTACATCGACGATATGGTGGTAAAGAATAAGGAAAAG